GAAATGTTATGATTTATTTTAGAACGGCAATGACGACTTATATGGCTCGGTTAGCCACAATTAAAACAGTTTTTGTTGTATCTCTGATTATTTTGGGTACCATTTCTTTCTTTAGCATACGTACGTGTTTGATTATATTTCAATTTGTTTTTCTTCATAACGAGCTTCACATATTTCGTCATTTTGGTGTGATTTGGCCATTCGATCAATCTGCCTTGCTTCCTCTTCTTTTAACTTCTTTTTAAATATTCGAACGAGGGTAATTCATCACGTAATTCGATCGTTACAGTAAAACTTTCATATTCGGGTGTAAAGAAGCTAGCATCGTTATCGACAGTAAGACACTCGGCAGCTCTATTCCTACCGCTTGAATCTGTTCGTGTTTATGCTCGTATTCGTTCGTTTATTGCGTCATGCTTGCGTTCGTTTGTTTCTGCATACGAACCAACTCCTTGATTAGCTTTATTCTTCTCATGGGACCTTTTGATTCAAACGCATTTTCTTATTTCTCCCATGCCTCATTTGATATATTATCCTTTTTTACATATATGAGTTAACCTTGTGCCATACTTATATTAATCAATGCAAGTGCCTTGCATCTTTCCTTGTCCATTCTACCTCGTTTTGTTCCGTTTTTACTTCCATCAACGACTGACCATAAATCGTTGAACACGAGAATACTTTTCATATGCACTTTCCACAAACTATAATTATTGTTATTTAATTTATCTATGTTCGAGAAATTATGCATAGACGCCATAATTTCTTTTTCTTTCACTTATTTATTTTCAAGTTTGTCACACGTGATTAAATTTTCCTCACAATTTTCGCGCACAGGAACCATTCTGTGTCCATAACCTGTCAGAGTTTATTTATGAGTCTTTATTTGGATAAGGATACGCGATAATGTAATGGATAGGAAATTCATACATATGTACGTACAGAACGACTCTCGAGGTCAACTACGCGGAGCCATAGTTCATTTGGTTATTTAACAGAAGACAATCAGACCCTCACAACTCACATCATTCATCGACATGTTCCAACAAATTCTATTTATTGAAATTAACTTATATAAATTAAAAATTAAATTCAGTAATTAATATAATGAAAAAGGATAATAAATATTCTAGAATAATATGTATTATTATTATTTAAATTTTTAAATTGGAAATTAAATATAATTCTATTATACTATAAATACATACATATATACGTCTGTATATATAAAATTAATTAGATTAATACGTAACAAAGAAATAAAGAAATGTTCAAATTACAACAACAAAATGTGGAAATCATAATGATAATTCATAATTATTGATGAATCAATGAAAAATGTAATTTATATATTCGAATCAATGAAATCAGATTCGGATTAATGTTCCAATTAAGACCATGATTCTACAGATAAATATCGTGCAGATAAAAAAAATTGAACTATATATATTCTCATTTAGATTAAAATATGAATTTTTATATCCAATTAATTGATCTAGTGAAAAACAATCCTGTAATAATCGTAAATATTAATATTTTTGTTCTTTTGTAAAAATTATTGTTAAGGAAATATATGAATTCTAAAAAATTCTGAAGTAATTAAAATAAATGTATTTAGAATTGGAATTTCAATATAATTAAATACTTTAATTAAATACTTTATTTTTGGTGGTCATATTTAATTTCAATTGATGAAGAAATTGATCTATAGGAAAGTGTTCAAAAAATGGAAATAAAAAAAAAGTAATTCAGAAACAGTAATTATAATTATTGTAAATTTAAGTACAATTTTTAAA